CCTTATGCTCCATGGATTTTAACCTCCATGGAGTATCCATGGGTCACCCCATGGACTTAGTCCAACATAAGGAATCTTGGATCACAAGCCCACATATATAAGAATGAATGATTTACACAATCAACCCATATATTTAATTAGTCTCCTTTTGATCACTTAATTAATTCCAAATTAATTCTTGATCAATACTAATTAAATAACCTTATTAATATATTAGAACTTATAATATATTAACCAACCTTAAGTGTTATTTCTCTCATTATAGTCTATCCAAATGCATGATGCCATGCAACCCAAATGGACCATGCCGGGTCGGGTCAAGTCTTACCAATTATAGTTATGGACTTAGACATTAATCCAACACAAGGAACCGAGGGATCATGGCAGATCCAGGCATATCGACAGCAAATATCATATTATTAGACATCGGGGAGAAGAGGGACTCCTCGTAGTGAAGAGGGTATCGTCAGAAGATAACCCAGCAGATCCCCTTACGAAGGGACTGAGTAGGGTTAAGCACTTGCAGCACGCTAGGAGCATTGGGCTGAAGGACGATATTAGTTTTTATGATTAGATAGCTTTTAGAAACTTGTAATAGATAAATTGTAATTAACATTTGATGATTAAATAAAATGTGTTTTATTTATAAGTAAAGTTACTGTCTTGTGTTAATTATTTACTATTGTTTCACTTTGCATGATTTGACTTCCTAAATAATAAGATTATTTAAATTGTCCACAGTCGATCATACTTTGGAAGTAGGTATGAATGAAGACTGTCATGAATTGGTTTGTAGACTTTCTAAAGTGTCTAGACATAGCAAAGGTGATATGTGCATATTTATACACATATTTATACAACATACATTAATATTTTAATTACTTTTATGCCCTGAATAGAACAAAATATACTTAATTTGCTATGAATTGTGTTGTAGGGACTAAAAGACTTGTTTGGAGCAAAAAGGAAGTTGGAAGCTGGATTAAGGAAGCTAGAAGATGGAAGATTGAACCAAAGCAATAAAATGAAGAAAAATACACCCAACACGTCGTCTTGAAGATTCTCGATCAGATTCGATGACATGGAGATTACGGGATAAACACAATCACCACGACGTGGTGCCCTGCTTTCGGGAAAAGTATAAATATCTCACATAAACCTCTGAATGGGAACTTTTGGCTCCGGAGAATTCGAAGCTTTTTGAGGAAAAGGCACTGGAATTAAGCATTGGAAGCAAGGAATTCAATCACAATCATTAGAAGGAGGAGATCAAAGGCAACTAAACTCTACTTTTCGATTTTTCATTAGGAATAGCTATGTCTTTACTTTTGAATCTCGATTTTATGACTTTGTTTGCTGAAATCATGAGCTAAACACTCATGATTTTCGTTTAGCTAGGATGAGTTGACTAAACATGGTTGATTTCATAGTTAGGATTTAGTTATTTGGTTATTTGTTTACTTTTGCTTATTAAAGAACCTCAAGTACTTTTGATAACTGCTTTTTATCTGCTTATTGCTGAATTTGATTAGGTTAGAATGACTATTTTTCTTAATTGAGTTTGAATCTTATGATCTTGTGATTTGCAAAATCGTAGGACTAGAGTTTTGATTAAAACCTAGGGTTAAGTAGAAAAGTGGGTAAAAAAGTATAGGAGCCAATATATGACGATAAATCATACATAAAATTGAATCAATAAATTTAATTGGTCAATTAATTATAAGTCTAAGCAACCGGAACCGAACACTAGTGAACTTGTAAGTTTGTCCGCTTGATCATCGAATAAATAAGCTAGTTTGCTAAATGATTAAATTGGTGAATACCAATTTGGTCATCTTAGGAATCGGTAGCCAAAGAAACTAAATCCATTGCACTTCTATGAAACAACCATAATAACAACAATTCCAAAGCTGAACGAAAGTCTCTTTCTCACCTTGGTAATTCATACTTGTTACTTGCTTAGTTTTAGTTCTAGTTTTATTAAGTGAATTTTTGAGTTAGTTTAGTAAATCAAGTATCTAGTCTTACAAAACTAGGAAAACAACCCCTCTTTTAATTTAATTATTAATTAGTCAATAGTAAAATAAAGCAATCTAAACACCGTTCCTTGTGTTCGACACTCATTCTTACCATTGCTATACTATTGCATGATTAGGTATACTGCCTAGCGTGTTTAATAGTTTAGTAAAGTAAATTACTTTTATAAATTAACTTGAATAAAATATAAGCATATTAAAGTACACATCAAGTTTTTGGCGCTGTTGCCAGGGAACGGTTCAGTTTTAATTACTTTATATTGCTATTTTTAGGACTATTTTCTGTTGGAGTTTAGTTTTTAATTTTTATTTTAGTATTTTAGGTTCACCACGTCGTGGTAATTTATACCACATCGTGGTATAGCTACTGTAGGAATTTTATTTTTCGTTTTTTTTTTTTTTTTTTTTTTTTTTTTTTTTTTTTACTTTTATGTGTTTTCTTTGTTTATTTGCAGATCGTTTATGACCAGAGGAGGAAATACACCTTTGATCCCACCACTTGAAGACCCGGAAGCTACTTTAAGGAAGAACAAAGGCAAAACCGTTGGAGAAACCGCAATATCGAAGAACTCACCTTTGAAGAATCTCAAATCTGTGTTTACCAAGAAAAAGAGCAGTAAATCAGGAGGATCCAACATCTATTTGGCGGACAAAGACCCGAAGAAGGAGGACACCAAATACGAAACAGAAGGAGACGAAAAAGATCTTACATTTGATAACGAAAGTGACCTAGAAGACGAACCCGACAACACCATGGCTAACATCGACGAAGTTCCCATGGGCGAGTGGAAGAAGAAGATGCGTGAAGATACCGGCCCAGGACTCGTGTAACCCGCGATTCCGGAAAATGCTAACTTCGAGCTTAAGGGCCACATACTCGCACAACTTAAGGAACTCCCATTCTACGGTAAGGATTACGAAGACGCGTACAAACATCTAGAAGAGGTCAACGACATAGCCGACTACTTCAATGTTCCAAATGTGGCTTGTGAAACTGTATTGCTTCGTATGTTACCCGTTACATTCAAGGGGGTCGCGAGAGATTGACTAAAATCACTTCCTCCCGGATCCATTACTACTTGGGCCAAGATGAAAGAAGAATTCATTGATCAATTTTGCCCACCCTCAAAGATAGCGAAGTTGAAGAAAGCCATAGCCAACTTTGAGCAACAACCTGGAGAGTCACTTTATGAGGCATGGGAAAGATACAAGAGTTTGTTGAGGAACTGCCCACATCATGATCTGAACAGTCAACAAGAATTTCCATTTTCTATGATGGAGTAAATGTGACAACTGGGCAGCTCCTTGATTCTCAAGGACCACTCACAAAGAAGGCACCCCCGGTGATAAAACAGTTAATTGAAGAATTCTCTAAACACTCTAGAGAATACCATAACCCCAAGGAATGAATTAGCAAAGGGATCGGTTAATGCTGCTTCGGAGGATATGGCGGCAGTTTTGGCAATGTTGCACAACATTGATAGGTGAATGACTAAGATGGATCAAACAATCCATGCTATTCGGGTTGGGTGTGAAAATTGTAACGGGCCTCATTTGACTAGAGATTATGACCTTGATGAAAATGGAAACCGGAAGGTTCAAGCTTTCTACTCGAGCGGTGATCGTTTTGATGACAATTGGAGAAAACCCAAGAAAAATTAGATACCTTATGAAGAATACAAAAAGGCTAAGGAAGAGAGATATGAACAAAAAGGAAGAGGGTTTTACCAAAAAGAGGAACCACAAGCTGAAAAGAAATCTGACTTGGAAAATATGATTACCCGATTTATAGCCGCTTCCGAAAAAAGGCACGAAGGAGCTGAAGAAGCGATAAAAGAACAACAAGTATTCATGAGGGAACAACAGGAGACAATGAGAAATACACAAGCACTGGTTAGAAATCAACAAGCTTCAATCCTCACTATAGAGAAGCAACTCGGTCAACTAGCGAGCCAATTAAATGAAAGATCACCGGGAGGACTTCCGGGAAATACCGAACAAAACCCGAGAAGAGCTCACATTTAAGCCATCACCACTAGAAGCGGGAAAATTATCACTCACTTAACCCCAATTGACAGAAACGAACCAGAAGCGGAACAGGAAGGACAAGAAGAAAATAAAGAAAACAAGTCTGGGCAATCACCACGACGTGGTGAATCTACCACGGCGTGACAAGACACTGTAAAGAAAAATACCGAACTGGTGAAGCCATATCGTCCACCATTTCCCTTCCCAAGCAGAGCAATTCAAGAGAAGCATGCTGAAGATTACTGGAGGTTTTTAGATCACATAAAATCTCTTGAAATCAACATTCCATTCCTTGAGGCTTTAGCTGAAATGCCTAAATATGCCAAATTTCTTAAGGACTTGTTAACAAACTGCAAGAAGATGGAGGGGCTATCTAAGGTAGTGTTGAATGAAACTTGTTCTGCTGCTATGTTAAACATGCTACCAAAGAAGATGGGGATCCAGGAAGTATAACCTTGCCATGCCAATTTGGAAATCTTGCAACTAGTCATGATCTAGCTGACTCGGGAGCAAGTGTTAATTTAATGCCCTATTCGTTTTTCAAGAAGCTCGACCTTCCCGAACCAAGACCGGTCTGCATGGTTATTCATTTGGCAAATAAAACTATGACATTTCCAAGGGGTATTTGTGAGGACTTGCTAGTGAAAGTTGACAAGTTTGTTTTCCCCGCAGATTTTATTGTTTTGGATATGGAGGAAGATGAACAAGTCCCGATCATTCTTGTAAGGCCATTCTTGAGCACCCCCGAGCTTTAGTTTTGATATAAGGGAATCCAAGCTTACGTTACGTGTTGGAGAAGAAGCGGTGACTTTTGGTGTTAATCGGGCGATCAAACATTCAAGGATGAGTGATGATATAGCGTTTTCAATTGATTTGTTGGATTAAGTACTGGAAAAAGAGCTAGCGGGTTGGAAAGAAAAAGAAAATGAGGGATTTATGGTGCTTGATGAAGGAAATTTTGATCCCGAACTCGATCTACAAGAATTGGAGAAGTTATTGGAAGAAGGCAAGTACAATGAAGCAATAAAAGAGACAGAAGAGGCAACACGACGTGGTGAGGATGCCACGACATGGCAAAGTTTTTATTCGCGATCTGGAATTAAAAACCATGACACCACGACGTGGCAGGATCACCACGTCGTGGTGGCTAACGCAAAACCAAAACTCGAGCTGAAAGCCCTTCCCGAACACCTGGAGTATGCATTCTTAGAAGAAGAACAACAAAAGCCAGTAATCATTGCTTCTGACCTAGCAAAACACGAGAAAGAAAGCCTAGTTAAAGTTCTAAAGAAGAGACAAGGTGCCATTGCATGGAAGATCACTGATATCAAGGGGATTAGTCCAGCCTATTGTTCTCATAAGATCAATTTAGAAGAAGGAGCTAAACCCATAGTACAACGCCAAAGAAGACTCAACCCAAACATGCAAGAAGTAGTTAAAAAAGAGGTGGTGAAACTATTAGATGCTGGTATCATTTACTCAATATCTGATAGCACATGGGTGAGTCCAGTACATGTTGTGCCAAAGAAAGGAGGAATGACAGTGGTCACCAATGAAGCTAACGAGTTGATCCCAACAAGGACAGTTACCGGGTGGCGTGTTTGTATTGACTATCGAAGTCTTAATTATGCAACATGCAAGGATCATTTTCCGCTACCATTCATCGATCAAATGCTCGAGAGGTTGTCCGGTCATCTTTATTATTGTTTCCTTGATGGTTTCTCGGGGTACTTTCAAATTCCAATTGACCCACAAGATCAAGAGAAGACCACTTTTACATGCCCAAGTGGAACATTTGCATATAGACGCATGCCTTTTGGGTTATGCAATGCACCAGCCACTTTCCAAAGGTGCATGATGGCTATCTTTCATGATATGATCGAGAAGTTTATGGAGGTTTTCACGGATGACTTCTCGGTTTTCGGGTCCTCTTTTGAAGATTGTTTGTCCAACTTGGATCTAATGCTAGCAAGATGTGAGAAGACCAACCTTGTTCTCAATTGGGAGAAGTGTCATTTTATGGTGAAGGAAGGAATTGTGTTAGGTCACAAGGTCTCAAGGATGGGGATAGAGGTGGATAGAGCGAAGGTTGACACTATAGCCAAATTACCACCTCCAACAAATGTCAAGGGGGTAAGAAGCTTTCTAGGCCATGCAGGATTTTATAGGCGCTTTATTAAAGACTTTTCGAAGATCACAAAGCCCTTGACTCAACTTCTTTTGAAGGATGCCCCATTCAACTTTTCTAAAGAATGTCTTGATGCATTTCATTTGTTGAAGGAAAAGTTGACTACTACACCTATTATGATAGCTCCAGATTGGAGTCTTCCTTTTGAGCTTATGTGTGATGCTAGTGACTTTGCGGTGGGAGCTGTTTTGGGACAAAGAATTGACAAGCATTTTCAGCCTATCTACTATGCGAGGAAGACCTTGAACCCAACACAAGAGAACTACACTACTACAGAAAAGGAGCTACTAGCAGTGGTTTTTGCATTTGATAAATTTCGCTCCTATTTTTTGTCAAAAACCATAGTTTTTACCGACCATTCTGCCCTTAAGTATCTTTTTGCTAAACAAGATGCTAAGCCAAGGTTGATTCGTTGGGTGTTGCTGCTACAAGAATTTGACATTGAAATACGAGATAAAAAGGGGATGGAGAACGTGACTGTCGATCATCTATCGAGATTGCAAAACCCGCACTTGGAGGAGTTAGAAAAAAAAAAGATTGGAGATGAATTTCCCGAAGAATATTTATTGGTTATAGCAGGAGAGATTCCATGGTTTGCAGATATAGCTAACTATTTAGCAAGTGAATACATTCCAAACGACTTGACCCACCAACAAAAGAAGAAATTCTTTTCAGAAATTAAGTATTACTTTTGGGATGAGCCATACCTCTTTCGTAGCTGTGCTGATGGTATGATAAGAAGATGTGTATTCGGGAAGGAAAGTCGTGAAATCTTGAAGCATTGTCATAGCGAGCCCACCGGAGGACATCATGGAGCGCAATATACGGCGAAGAAGGTTTTTGATTCGGGTTTTTATTGGCCTACTATTTGTAAAGATGCTACAAAATTTGTCAAAGAATGCGATTCATGCCAAAGGTTGGGAAACATTTCTTCACGAAATGAGATGCCCCAAAATAGCATTCAAGTTTGTGAAATATTTGATATTTGGGGAATTGACTTCATGGGACCTTTCCCAATGGCAAAGGGAAATAAATACATATTGGCAGCAGTCGATTATGTATCCAAATGGGCGGAGGCACAAGCATTACCCACAAATGATGCTCGAGTAGTGGTACGTTTCCTCAAAAAGTTATTTTCAAGATTTGGAGTTCCAAAGGCTCTAATTAGTGATCGAGGCACCCACTTCGCAAATGATCAGTTGGCTAAGGTGTTGCAAAAATATGGTGTCCACAATAGATTTTCAACATCCTATCATCCTCAAACAAGTGGGCAAATTGAAGTTACAAATCGGGCATTGAAGAGAATATTAGAAAATTCGGTTGGAAGTAATAGAAAGGAGTGGTCGGATAAGCTTGATGATGAACTATGGGCATTTAGAACAGCTTTCAAAGCACCTATTGGTACTACACCATATAGGTTGGTTTATGGGAAGAGTTGCCACTTGCCAGTTGAGATAGAGCATAAAACATTTTGGGCTTTGAAGATATGTAATTTTGAGCCAGATGAACTACGTGCCAACCGGTTGATGCAAATGAATGCCCTTGAAGAACTTAGAAACGAAGCCTACACAAGTTCTTTGATTTATAAAGACAAAACTAAGAAGTGGCATGATATGAGGCTTAAGGGTAATAAAGAGTTCCATGAAGGACAAAGGGTGCTACATTTCAATTCAAGGTTAAAACTTTTTTCGGGTAAATTGCAAACAAGGTGAGACGGGCCATTTGTTGTCAAAAAAGTTTTCCCACATGGAGCTATCGAGCTTATTTCAAGAGACGGGACCCCTTTCAAGGTTAATGGGCATCGAGTGAAGCATTACGAGGAAGGAATGCCAAGTGAAGAAAGGGAGGGTGAAATCGTCAAATTCACACGAGCTGAAACAACGTAACCTGGGAAGGAGTCCGGCTCATGACTCCTCAAAAAGAAGCGCTTGCAGGAGGCAACCTGTGGTTTTGAGTTTGCATTTTCTTTCCTTTTCTTTTATTTTCTTTTATTTGTTTTTAGTTTTATTTAGGTCTTTATTATCTCATTCTTCTGATTTATCTATGAATTCGTCATGGGGGCCGGCATAAAACGAGTGTGGGGTGAGTATTTTTAAGAGTTTTTTTTAAATACGAATTTTTTTTACCCACCACGAGGTGGTGATATTTTTGCACACGAAATTAAGACGGGCAAAACCTCGACACCACGAGGTGGTGGATTTTCCACGTCGTGGCGACTAAACTTACATCCGTTATTTTTAGGTTTTCATCCAAAGTCAAAAACATTTTTATTTTTACTTCACCCTCACTTTCTCGTCGTGCCAGCCTCTCCCACGAAGAATTCTCCATCCTTCCATCCGATTTCTTGCATTTTTCTCAAACAAGGTATGTTTTTCTAGTTATTTTAGTACTCTTAATCATCTATTAAGGTAGTATAGAGCATCTATTTGAACCTAGGGCAGATAATTTTGAACCTAGGGTTCTGATTTTTGCAAAAATCGGACCAATTTTTGCATGTTTTAGTCCCATATTTTGCTATCATTCTATTCCATTTCATCCACTGAACAAACCCTGAACTTGGATTTAGTTAATATGGTGTTGAACTTAGATCGATTTGAGCAGTTCACGTCACAGTGCCGACGCCACGACGAGCTCGTCGTGGTGACTGCTATGACAATTTTGTTCTTCTGTTTCGATTATAATAATGCACATGGGTTGTTTGGTTGTTCTTTTGTGGTTATTTTGCAGGAATAACTAGCAGGTCCAGAAGAAGTCAACCCGTTACTCGCGATTTTCCATGGTATTCTTTTCCACGGAATGTTGCACCTGAGACACATGCGCGTTGGACTGCTAAGCTTGACTTACTCAAGAAAAGAAAGGTGCATGTTCCAGCTGAAGTTGATTGGCACTGGATTGGAAGTTCGGGTTTGATGGAGGCTATGGAGCCTTACCTTGACAAGGTATTTAATGGAGTTCATGGGCAGTTTATGTGTTTGGGTTGGAGACAAATTTTTGAGATTCAAGAGGTGGTTTACAAGGAGTTGGTGTATGAGTTTCTTGCCACAGTATCTTTCAGAAGAAAAGACGGGATATATGCGGATGATAATCTTACTTTTTACCTTGGAGGGGAAAGACGTTCCTTAAGCATAGCTGATTTTGCACTACGGGTTGGCATCTACCTTCCAGCTGAAGTCCATACACCATTGTACCAACAATTTATAGCAGCCTCCATTAAGAACATCGAAGGGTTCAAAGCAGAGGACCATTGGCATTCTATTGCTAATGGGGTTTACCACAAGGGTACTGCATAGGAAAGCGACATCCGATCGCCAATTCACCGCCTCTTACACCACCTGATCACTAATACCATAAATGAACGTCAGGAGGGGGATAAATGTCCCACTGTGGATGTTTTCTTTTTGTGGGTTCTCACCTCAAATGAGGTTTATGCTGATTTATCTTTTCACCTGGCTGAGTTCCTTACAGTTCGGGCAGCAAAGGACAGGCGTGGGTCCCCGCTTTATGGTGGTATGTGGATTACCCGACTCGCGCGATCTTTTGGTATTTTTGAGAAACGGGAGGCTTCTATGCTTACAGTGGAGCCCCAAAAGCGCTTTTCCATTCTTCTTTATAAGAGGGCTCGAATTGTTGTTGAACATGGAATGGCTGGTTTTAGCAGTCCTGACGATACTCCACGGCACCGAGTTCCAAGCCGTGGAAGGCGACGGTGTAATGAAGCCAGAACAGATGAACCAGTGGTGCCGGAAGAAGATGAGATGCCCATAGATCCCTACAGTGTGGCAAGGAGACGATATGAGGACTACATGCCTAGAGCTACAAACTACACATCAAGTTTTTGATGAGCTCTATGTGTGTATCTCGTCCTGAGCATTTTCCTTCTGCGTACCCACATGTTCCAACGTGGGACAAAATTTGGCGAGAGCAGTTGGGTGGAGCTGGAGGCAGTGGTGGTGGAGCTGGTGATGATGAAGAAGATTGATTTTTTTATCCCTTTCTTTGTTTTTTTGTTTTTTTTGTCTTGTTTTAGACTAGTCCTTTATTATGGTTTTCTGTGGTTTGTTTTATGTTTTGTTAAACAATTTGTGGATGATTTGGTTGTTTGGATGCTTTTCCTACTTTTATTACCATTTCCTTTGTCCTAGTTCCAGGTTATATTTAAGAGTCAAGTAAGGGTATATTTGGCACAAGAAAGTTCGTTAGAGTGAAGGTATAAGAGAACGTCGAGAGAAGCGTGATTCGAGAGCATTTTTCGGGGGTCTAATTGAGTCATAGAGTGAAGGGTCATGTCCTAAGACTGTATGGAAGAGATGGTGTCATTTTAGTTCGAGTTGCAGCTCTATTCGCCTTCCGAATCTCTCTTTTCAATGCCACCACGACGAGGTATCTGACACCACGACGTGGTGTCGCAGTTTTAAAAACCAAAAAGTGTTATGTTTGGTTTACCACGACGTGGTGATATCCACCACGAAGTGGTGCTTTTCGAGTCATTTTACGAGCCTGATTTCGTACTTCCAGTAGTCTCCGTGATTCAAGTGACATTATATTTATTATCATGGTATGGATGAGCTGTTCCCATGCCTAGAATTTCCTTATCACGCTTCGTTGAAGAATTATCCCGGCTGCCACGACATTGTTTACACTTTCCTTTGACGTGGGGGAGTTTTTCAACAATTTAGGAGGCTGCCTTTTTCTTGTCCGATTCCGAGTCCATATGATCCAACAAGTTTGAATTTTCTTTGCATTAGTCGAGTGCATCTTCTATCCCAGGGGAGTTTGTTCCTTTTTCTCCCTCTTTTAATTTTATGTTTTGCATACCATGCAATGAGGGCATTGCATGAAATAAGTGTGGGGTAGGGGGTTGATTATATTAGTTGAATTAGTATCTTAATTTTAGGCATAATATAAAATTTTTGCATAAAATTGCTAGGATTTAATTTAGAAAATTATGGTAAAAAGTAATTAGGATTCATGCTAGTATTGCATTTGATAATTCTATGAGGACCCAAATGTTTAGTTAAGCCTATACACGTTCTAGCGCATTTGTGGCCTCCCTATTCTAGTGAAATCATGGGACAAAAACATAACCTCGCTTAGTTTGAGGGATGCGATATGTTTAGCAGCCTAAACCTAAAATGTATCCATAAAAGCTTAAGTAGTCATTGCACATTAGACTAATATCTTAACCAATAAAGGTTGAAGTGGAGTGCCCTTGCTTAAGCATGTAGGTTTTGAGAGAAAAAAAAGTGAGGTACATGTAAAAAAATTGAAAAAAAAGAGAGAGAATTACAAGAAAAGTTGTAAGAATTTTGGAGCGTTCAAGTCAAATTATGAAGATCAAAGATCAAAATTCTGAAGAAATTCAAAAGTTGAAGATACCAAAAATCAAATCAAAGAAGATGGTGAATTCAAAGAAATCAAATATCAAATATTCAAAGAGTTGAAGAATTCCTAAAGAGCTCCAATGTGGTATCAAAATTTGTAATTTTCTAGATTATGTATGCTTGGGTTGTTTGACCAAAAATACCTTGAGGGTAAGAAAGTTTTCTGAGGATGGATTCGGAGGGTTGCATAAAATGAGCATTGTTCAAAAGAAGTGGGCGAGTGTTTATGAGGATTGTGAGTATTTAGGATTGGGGGGGGGGGTCCTTAGGAAAAATTTTAGCCACAAATGCATGCGTTGCGGTCTTGGCATAATGGCTGGGTTCGATTAGGATTGTTTGATGTGATGTTGGTATGCTAAAATTCAGTTTTGCTTGGGGGCAAGCAAAAGTCTAGTGTGGGGTATTTTGATATGTGCATATTTATACAACATACATTAATATTTTAATTACTTTTATGCCCTTAATAGAACAAAAGATACTTAATTTTCTATGAATTGTGTTGTAGGGACTAAAAGACTTGTTTGGAGCAAAAAGGAAGTTGGAAGCTGGATTAAGGAAGCTAGAAGATGGAAGATTGAACCAAATCAATAAAATGAAGAAAAATACACCCAACACGTCGTGGTGATCCTACCACGACGTGGCGTCTTGAAGATTCCCGATCAGATTCGATGACTTGGAGATTACGGGATAAACACAATCACCACGACGTGGTGGATCCACCACAACGTGGTGCCCTGCTTTCGGGAAAAGTATAAATATCTCACATAAACCTCCGAATGGGAACTTTTGGCTCTGGAGAATTCGAAGCTTTTTGAGGCAAAGGCACTGGAATTAAGCATTGGAAGCAAGGAATTCAATCACAATCATTAGAAGGAGGAGATCAAAGGCAACTAAACTCTACTTTTCGATTTTTCATTAGGAATAGCTATGTCTTTACTTTTGAATCTCGATTTTATGACTTTGTTTGTTGAAATCATGAGCTAAACACTCATGACTTTCGTTTAGCTAGGATGAGTTGACTAAACATGGTTGATTTCATAGTTAGGATTTAGTTATTTGGTTATTTGTTGACTTTTGCTTATTAAAGAACCTCAAGTACTTTTGATAACTGCTTTTTATCTGCTTATTGCTGAATTTTATTAGGTTAGAATGACTATTTTTCTTAATTGAATTTGAATCTTATGATCTTGTGATTTGAAAAATCGTAGGACTAGAGTTTTGATTAAAACCAAGGGTTAAGTAGAAAAGTGGGTAAAAAAATATAGGAGCCAATATATGACGATAAATCATATATAAAATTGAATCAATAAATTTAATTGGTCAATTAATTATAAGTCTAAGCAACTGGAACCGAACACTAGTGAACTTGTAAGTTTGTCCGCTTGATCACTGAATAAATAAGCTAGTTTGCTAAAGGATTAAATTGGTGAATACCAATTTGGTCATCTTAGGAATCGGTAGCCAAAGAAACTAAATCCATTGCACTTCTATGAAACAACCATAATAACAAAAAATCCAAAGCTGAACGAAAGTCTCTTTCTCACCTTGGTATTATATGAATAATATATTAAAGGAGAAATCATATTTGTTTAATTAATATTGGTAAAGAATTAATTGAGAATTAATATTGTGGTCAAAAGATATTAATTGAATTAAAGGGATTGGAATTGTAATTATTTGATAATTGGATTTCGGGCTGAGGAACCCTTAGAAATGGGGGTGGACGAATTCAAGGAGGGAAGCCCACCTTGAAATCGTCCAAGGCCTCATTCTAGAAGGATTTTTGGACTGCTTGGTGCCTAAGCAATCTAATTAGGGTTTTGACTGAAACCCTCGCACCTCAACTATATAAAGGGTCCCTAGGCTTCATATTTCGGCTACCCTAACCCTAAGAAGAGTTCATAGAGCCGAATTCCCTTACCCTCTCTCTCTCTAAGTTTCATCCAACTTGCTTTGGTGTTTGTGATCTACTAGAGGCACAACATTTGGGGTGCTAAGGTTCTGAAAAGCTCAAGATCTTCAAGCAACAATCAAAGGTAACTTCCTAACTTGTTTATTAGATGTTAATTTGTTTTGTTGTATGTTAGATTAGGGTTTGAAAGTCTTGGACAATTGTTGCATGTAAAAATAGAAAAACTAGATCCAAGCAATTAGGGTTTGCATGAACACCATAGGAATGTTGTTTTGCTCATAACCCAACAGTGGTATCAAATCCTAGATCGTTTCTCTTTTGTATTTGATGCATAGATGATTTGTTCAAGCTCAAAAAGTCAAAAATTCAGCCTCTGACTGATGTACTCGTCGAGTCACCAGATGAACTCGGCGAGTTGGCTCGTCTGGTGGCAGATTTTTCGGGATTTTGACTAAAATTGAATTGGGATAATTACCAAAACGGTTTTAACTGATAGAATTCGATTTTTTCAATATTAATTATCCTAATTCAATTGAAGGATAATTGTCAAAAATAAGATAATTACTTATTTTATAAGATAAATTTAATTATTTGTATATTTGATTTGAATTATCTTGTAAAGGAAAATATTAGGTCAAATTATGTGACTATCCACATATAACTGTGTCCAAAACTCAAGCGTAGCAAAATCGGTCAAATAATTGTTACCAAACAACAACGAACCATCTCGTTCTTTATATATATACTGTGTACAGTGGGATCTAAAAGATTGCCAACAGTGCTGGTTGTTGTTGTGTAACACATTTCCTCTTCATTTGTATCCATGACGACTTATACCATATTGACATAACTTTTTGGCGTTTAGAACGCCTAAGAGGTGCTGACGACAGTGTTTTGTATTCATCCCGCAGAATCCCTTTTACATCTAACGAGTGAATAACCGGAGACGGCTGCTCCGGGTTGCCATTCAACGGCTGTTCAGGGCCGTCATTCAACGGATTTTCGGGGGTGCTTAAGACATAATCATGCTCCCATAACTCATTGTCATTGTAATATCCTTGTACGGTTCAATAATGTATACTTGTATACGATGCAAAAACATAACAAACATAAAAGATGAAATAATTAAAAATGTACCCCCATCCCCTTCGAGGTAATCGTCTCCAGGAGTCTTATTGATAAGTTTAAAACCTTGGCTAAAGTAGCTTCGTGCTCTGCTAAATGCTGATCCTGAGACCTCAACTGCTCGCGACATTCATGAACCTCATTTTTCAATTGATAGATCTCGTTTTACAAGTCACTAATAATTCAGTCCTTGCCAGTTGATGGGTCAGCGGTTAGTAGTGGTGGTGGCGGCGGGTGAGATGGATCATCTATCCATGCCTTATTTTATCGAGGCTCATAGGTAAGGGAGTTTTTGGGTGGTGGTGTTAGGGAATGTGCCCTGTGAACTTCAGTGTCGGGAAAATTAGGGCGATCAATCTACGCTGAGCTAACTATCCACCATTCAGCACGCATTTCATATTCTGTCCAACTCCAACTTCTA